TTTTGCCGCATGAGGGTAAATTTTTACGAAAACGTCACAAAGATGTTGTAATAGGATGAGGGTAGAAACAAAAAGGACAGACACGGACGGTGATTGCCGTAGATTGGACGTGTTAAAGATATAAATTGTGTCTTGTGTAATCCTTGTTAATGTATCCTTTTTGTTTCTACCCTCATCCTATTACAATTTACAATGTGCAGCGTTTTTGTCGAAGAAAAGGGAGAGAGCGATGGAGACCGATTAAGAGAGAGTGAGAAGGGTGAATAACCTTATAGAAATTCTATTTTTTAAATTTCGTAAAGACAATTTATTAAGATATTTGGCCTTTGGGAGAAAGCTTGAGGCCTTTACCTCTAAAGGGGTTCCAATCAGTGGTGAAGGAAGTTAGGATATTAGAATAAGAAAAATGATAATGTACATAACAAATTTAAAAAACTCAACTATTTTAAATTTGTAAAGATTGGAAATAGCTTAATTATTATATTATTATAATTATGCAATATTGTAGTATAGTTGTGTTGTTGATATATTATTTAAATAGAAAGAGCTTTTCAAACAAAAATCAAGTGATGCCCTCATTACTACGCGATCTCAGGCAATCTGAGTTCCTTGAAACTAGGCTCCAAAGTAAACCAAAAACATTATTAACAAGCTTATATGACTCAAATGTCACTTATACAACAAGGAAGACCTATAAATTAAATGAGATCTCAAAACGTTATAGGATATGTTGTAACGACCGGTTCTACTTATTTAAATTCAGCCAATTACACTTCACTCGGTAATCAAAGAGGTCTTATAAATATTATTTTTTCTAATTTAAAACTTTGTGGGTGACCAGAGATGAGCGCGTCTGAGTTTTAGGAATTAAACATATTTCGTATACGCGTATTTACATTTACATGTCTTCTGTATTATTACAGAAAGCATGTTCTATATGTATTGTTTTATGTATATTATTTATTTTTTTCACATTAGCTGTTAAGGGATAATTAATAAGGAAATATAGAATTAAGAAGTTATATTAAGTTTTGAGACTACTTTAAACTCTAAAGAAACGCCTATGTTTCCCGCGTGTGAAATAAAAAAATATATAAACTGCGCTGAAGGGAAAACATATTGAATAAAAACTCGATAGTTGTTGACAAAGAATTATGATTTGGATACTTGCTTGTAAGAAGAATTAGCAATGTAACAGACGCAAAAATGTGCCCTATTGGAGATTATCTGACTTAATATACGTTCTTGGTAAGAGAAATATAGTACTTATACATACAAAATCAACAGTTATTTCACATAAACAATGCGTAGGAGTTTACTAACTAACAGCTACCTTCAAGTAAAGGTAGTGCAAATGTAAGAGTAAACAAGGAGCAAGTATTACGGACGCAACCGAAATAATGGCCTTGGGTAAGTAGGTCCCAAAATAAGTTAAGGCAAATTCAACTTTATTGTAGCCTAAATGTATGCCTATAGGTGTGTTTATGATCTGACTTTAGAGGAAGCCGTCTGAAGTACAGTATAGAGAGTTTTAGTTGTACATTGCGTATCTTCATCTATTTATTTATTTACAAAAGCTTGCCAACGCTCAACATAAACATTGGTGTATAAGAAAAATAAAATACAATAAACAATTTAATCTAACAAGACTACGCTAACATAACAAAATTGATTGCAAAGTTTGAAACAACAATGGATATCCAGTTCCAGACCTATCACGTTTATCGATCAAGATTTGTGCTTTCGCAACGCGTTCTTCTGAAAGGGACAAATGGGATGATGCCTGGGAGGACACCAAATGTTAATTTAGTTAACTGCAATAAATGCATTTATCGATTAAAGTGAACCATGAGACAAACAACGTTTAGAATTTTAACTACTTAAGTTAATTTACAGCTCGAGTTTTACCCTCAATATATCCATATCCACAGATATGTATCACAGATGATAAGATAAATCATCATCTTATCATCATGGTTTCCTGATAAACGAGATCAGGCTAATACCGATACCGATAGAAGTTCTATGTTTTGGAAACACCAATTTCATTAGCTATCCAATTTTGTGTGTTTGGGGTCGTTCAAGTATAATGTAAGCACCAATGGGTTTTGATTTTCTTATTTGGTGATTACGTCAACAGGAATTATTTACTTTTTTACAAATATTACCCACACATTGTCTATGCTTGAAAACGAAATGCATTTTCGAGGATTCCTACAAAAAATTAATACGATCATGTACTATTTTTGAGAGCTTTACTTACTTTTGCTGACAAGAGGAAGGGGGGGGGATATATTGCAGCAAATCTGTTTACGTAATACTTGAACGGCCCCTTTCATGTTGTGTTTCAAACAATTCATTATCATAATTGCATGTCTAGTCTAAAAATTAAGGAACTTTAAACTCTTGATATGTTTATAGTTTTACTGTAAATTAAATAAACTGTATCGTTTCGTACCAAACTGTGTGGGAACCAATGTCCCTTTCATGGTTTCATAGAATTTATGTACGAATAGTCAATATGCAAATTAGTAATAATTGTTAGTAGTTTATTTCGTCACCGCAGTTCGTTATACTTTGATTAAATCCTGAGACGTTATGTAATGTCCTTAATCTCTGTATTATAATATTACGTAGTGTTAAACACAAGTTATTATTAACTGGACTGCAATTATCGACTGTAAGATTGTCTTAAGACATAACTGAAGTGGTTTTAGCGGCTATAATAATAATTATGAAACTTTATTCATGACAGACATATGGTTGTGACAAAATTGATGGAACGCTGTGTTGTGGGTTAGATTACAATTATTCAAGGATAAATAATAAGTTTTAATATTCAAACAAAAGTCGAATAAAAACTTTTAAAAGAAGAAAGAAATTATGAACATCGGTTTATTCAAGATTTATACATATACATATTACAAATCGAAAGATATCTCTGCTTTACAAGTTCTAATACAACCCAAAATGTATTTCTTCGTTTCACATATTGCCAGCTATTGAAGGAAAGGTTCCTTCAATTGCAATTATCCACCCTGTTGATCCTGAAGTCTTTGCAATCATTGAGTTCAGAAGTAGTTACCCGAACATTAAAGACGTATACTAACTTTTACTATAAACGACTATATAACTACTATATTCATAAACTCAAACTCAATATAACTTAATTCATAAAGGTAACCAAGTAAGTACACTTATGAACGTCAACAGAAAATTCGCAAGTCAAGGGCGTAGAGCGGGCAAGAAGAACTGGCAAGAAACATTCTCGTGTAGTTTTAAATATATATTCAGACCACATATTAAATAATTGAGGATTGTAGGGTTTGCAAATATTTGAACATTTTTCTAGTTTTTGGTACCCTTTCATAAGTTATCTGTAATTTTTCTTGGGTTTCTTGATTATTGGAGGAGAGAAATTAAGATTTCTTCGTTATTTATTTATTTTTAACAAAGTAAACTAACATTTACTGATTACTCAAATGTGGCAAAACAATACCAATTCTTAAAATGCCGGCAACGCACTTGCAAGGCTTCTGGCAATATGAGTGTCCATGGGCGGCGGTATCAGTTAATCAATCAATCAATCAGATGAGCCTCCTGTTACAAAAAAATACATACACAGAAAAATACGACACAACAATTAAAAGTAATAGATTAAAATATTTACAAAAAGACTAACTATTTCTTACAGTATAGGAACTGACATGAAGCAGACATTTTGTCAGTTCATTTAACAGACAATTAAAAGCGTGTGCTCTATGCATTCATTTTAATCATTCAATATCACGTTTTTCGAGAGGATAGTTGTCGCTGATATGTTATATTGTTTCTCCATAATCGAATAGAAAATCAAAATTTTATAGGCTTTAGTTGCTTTTATAGAACTTTATTAATTGTCGATATAAAGCGACACGGATTTACATAACTCATGGCAAGGATCTTATGATTAATATCGCCGTTCAATTTTCAATGCTTGCAACATTTAATCAATCTAGAAGTTTGTAACTGATCTAAGAGTGGTATTCTAACTAACTAACGAATTATAACAAATAGTACAAAAAGATTCAAACTTCTCGTGTTTTGTTACAACAAAATTCTTATTGAAAGTAATTTGGATTTGAAAATATAGACTTGTGTACATAATTGTTTTGTTTGGCTCACATCTACACTAACTATGCAAAAATCTCAGTTTTGTATCGCGCAGCCCGGACATACCTTGACCTGATCTGCTAGCCTTGACCTGTTTAAGCCATCGAGGAATATGGTTATTATAAATATCCATAGCGCAAAATCACCTACATCATGAGCATACCCCATATACACACCTTCACATACTTACCCTCACTTTAACACCATCACACAATACAGCCAAATTAGGTATTATTTAGTTAAATGTATTGAATGTTTTAATTGGGTTTTCCCTTTTATAAATGTTTGAACCTTTTTGTAAACATTATGTGTTCTATCTTTGGCTATATTTTTAGTGTAATTGTTTGTTTTTATATATTTTTGTTAGCTGTAGGATTACGAAATAAATAAATAATGCGTAATATAAAATGGTGGCTGTTTCGTCTCGATGTCAAATTTGTATGTTCTATATTAGTGATTTATATACCAGAAGCGCTTTAACCTTTTAGGTCTGGGCCTCAGATTTCTGTATCTGTTTCGTGGTCTAAGGCATGCCGGTTTCCTCACAGCCGCAAACCTACGACCACAGGGATGAGAATCGCACGCTAAAATCACTGCTCTTATAAGTAATTAAAAACAATTTATCGATTACACACAAATTATTACCGATATAATATCACACTTCCAAGAATCAGGCCCCAAGTATAAGCCAAGTATAGGGCCAGCTCATAAGATTAATATACATTTCGCCATGAACATCGCGAATATTTCAAAACTATAACAAAAGGTGTGTGAGCAAGTTTAACCTGTCGAATACATTTTATTGGCCAATTTGAGATTTTAAAATGCTCAAATGACATTGTTATGCAATGTACGTGCTGCGTATAATGGCCCTTTATGAGACACTCTTTGAAATACGGTGAGCAAGCAAGTACCTAACATAATTTAAATTGGTATTTAGTACTGAAATGAGCAGTGTTGGCCTAGTATCTTCAGCGTGCGATCCACGAGTTCGTAGGTTTGATCCCCGGCTGTGCACCAATGGAATTGTATGCGCATTTAATATTAGCTCGAACGGTGACGGAAAACATCGTGTGGAAACCGGCTTGTCTTAGACCCAGAAAGTCGACGGCGTGTGTCCGGAACAGAAGAAACTTGCCTATTAGATAGACAAATGAACATGACACAGAGTCAGAAATCCGAGGCTCAGACCTTAAAAGATTGTAGCGCAACTGATTCATATTTATTTAGTACTGAAATTAACAAACGGCACAAATATAAGAGTCTTTCCTCCAACTTCAATTTTGTTCCCTTTGGAGTAGAGACTCTTGGGCCGTGGGGTTCAAGTGCACAGGCGCTTATTAAAGATTTAAGTTGGCGCCTGGTAGATAGTACCGGTGACCACAGAGCTGGCACTTTCCTGGCTCAAAGAATAAGTCTCGCAATACAGCGAGGAAATGCTGCCAGCGTTAAAGGTACACTGCCACAGGGACCAAACTTTTTAAATTTGTTTTGATTTTCTTCTTTCTTCTTTAATTATTTTTATTATTACTTTATAGGTTAAGAAAATTGTAAATACTTTATATTTTGTGTAAATAAAAAGAAATACATATCGTACTGAAATTATTTTTTAGTAAGCAGAAATGAAATGCTCACATTACTCGCATATAAACATACAAACTTACGGTCCCAAATCGACTTAGGGCCGTTCAAGAAAAGAGCGTTACAATCCTTAAAAGGCCGACAACGCACTTGCAAGCCTTCAGGCAATGTGTCCTTGGGTGGTATCACTTAACATCAGGCGAGCCTCCAGCCCGTTTTCCACCTGTAACACAAAAAATAAAAAATAAAATACATACGTCATACGTAGGTAAATTTACTTTAAACATACTTAAAACCAACGTTTTTTAATCAGCCCTGCGATTCTGTAACTCACTTTTCGAACTCACACAGCGGTTTTCGCATCGGCGGTCGCTCTCAAATCAGTCGTGAAGCAGTCATTTTACGATTTGGCATTCTGATAAATGCGAAAACCGCTGTGTGAGTTCGAAAAGTGAGTTACAAAATCGCAGGGCTGGTTCCATAAAAAAATACACTCAAATAAAATAAATCTACATTTCTTAAAAATTTTATTCTTTTACAAAAACTTGTAAACAGTCTCACCATCTTTTCTCGTATGAACATTAATAAGAATCCTGAAATCATAACAAACACAATGTGTCTGACCTCCAATTAAATGAACTGAATATCATTTTGTAATAACGTGTTTGATTTTGACATTTTACAACATCAACGTTATAATTGTGGGTTATTAACTAATTAATTACGAACCATTCAAAAATTCTAATTCTACTGAAGCATTAAATATAGCTGAAATGAATATTAGCAATTATTGGCTAATTCTATATGGGGTAATGATAATAAAGTGGTACTCAGAGAAGTTTATTTATTCACACTTCGTTACATTTATACAAAAACAAATAACATAGTACAAAAAAAAGGATGCAACGGGCGGACTTATCGCTAACAAGCGATCTCTTCCAGGCAACCTTAGTAAAGGAAAAAAATTAAAAAAAGCAATATGATGGGAAAAGTGCAAGAAATGCATAACCAAATCTTTAAAAAAAAAGTTTACTAGCTGACCCGGAAAACGTTTGTTTTGCCAAGTATATTATTTCTAGGAAATTTTTTTTAAGTCAATAAAAATAACTACCTACAATAATAATGGGTTGATCGTAGAGGGGTGAAAATTAGGAGTTGTATGTATTTTTGTATGCTGTATCATAAAAAAAGAAAACTAAAAACTGAATTTTTTTTTATCACTTAGGAGTTTCAAAGATAGTAGCCGATTCTCAGACTTACTGAATATGAATATAAAATTTCATAAGAATCGGTCAAGCCGTTTCGGAAGAGTTTGGGAACGAACATTGTGACACGAGAATTTTATATATATAAGAGATTTCGATTTAAAGAGGTACACATACCCGACACCTATAATCTATGACCACAATCAGTTCAATGACATTGAATCGCGCTATCGAAGTGTTGCCGACCGCTGATTGACAGAGGCGTGTCATCTCGCCTCACCAACATCAAGGGCTATTGCCACCCCAGAGTCGTTCTTCATCAGCAAGCCGTGAATCTCCCCACTGCCATCAGGGGCTGTACTCGAAATGGCCAACGTCTGCCCCCGAATGAGTCATTTAGATCCACTGATCCACATAGACTTACCTCTGGTGCCTTCGGGCTGGCGAGTCAGTGGCAATATGAGGATTCTCCCTTTATGTTGGAGGAACAGTACACATGCCTGTTACACATAGGTGAACCACAGAAGTGTATCAATCAATCGTCATTCTAAAGCAGCAACGGTTATTAGAAATATACATTATGAACAACGAATTATGTGTTCTTGCGTACATGTAAAGGAATTTTTTATTTTGCTATAAAGGCATAAATAACTGAATGTATTTGCACATACTTAGTTAAAAATCTCTGTTTTTGAGAGTCAAAGCATCAAGAGTTTTGTCATATCAATTACACTAAAACAGGTTTATTATCGTTATATGCCCTACTTACAAAATATGTTATATTTCAATTACAAAAGAAGTAATAAAATCTTTGAGAAATCTTAACCGGTTCGTTTACAATATTTAAGATCATTAACATTGCAATTAATGAAACTTGTAACGAATGTCAAATTAAATAAAAATAATTTGGAAATATCTTTAAACTAGGTTTGTAAGTTACCTTGAATACCTTTCATTCGTTATAAACTCGATAAGTTCCATTTTTCTACATTTTATGGTTATTTTTGTTTGGAATATCATAGAATGCCATAATAATTAATGAATACGTAATCACATGTGATCAATTCCCGCCAAAACAATGTCGCTCTCACCATAGAGTCACAATGTCTATAAGTTGTACCAAGTATTGTACGGAAACAATCAAAAATATAAAAACTCTTTTCATTGTTATTGTTGCAAAATCGAAAAGAATTCAAAATATTTTTAATAGCGTTTATCTCACATTTTCTGAAACATTTAATATTATATTTTACGACTGTTTTAATTATCTGCACTTCTGTAGGGATTGCCGCAAGTTGTATCTTCAGTTTTTTTTTTTCTTAAGTGCCAATATTTTTTTTATCTTTAAAAGAGGTTAGTTATATCTTTACATTATTTAAAATGCAGTTTTATATTTTTTTATAAGTTTAAATGATCGTTAAATATATAACGATATAAGCCTAACCTTGGATCTTGCACATAATACATAATTATATAGTTATGGGCGATCTAAATGCAAAAATAGGCCAACCTAGGACAGAGATAGCGGACGACATTGCTCAAACGGCTGGCTCGAGCTGGATGCAGCTCACCCAAAATCGAGATACCTGGAGATCCCTGGAGGAGGCCTTCACCTGCGGAAGGGTTCTTGCAAAATAAAAATTAGGCAATAATAATAATAATAATAATTGTATAATTTACTTCCTTAAAAATATATGTGTAAAAATAGTATTAAGTTTACTGTGTTCTTTTGCAAGAAATAAAAAGGCTTTTTTATTTATTTATTTATAAGCCCTTCAAGGTTTACACATGTATTTATTAAACACTCTCAAAACCTCTTTGGTATAGATAGAGTACAGCTTGCATAAATTACAAAGACTTTCTAGTTATAGGTTAACTAATAACCCTTGCATCAGGCGAGGAATTTGAAATGGTTTAATCTTAAATGTGGGTCGATACCTACTGTCCTTTTTAATGCTCAGGAAGCGATCGGACTATGTTATAGTTTAAATATAGAATATGGTATTTGTAGAAATATAAATACTATCTATTTAAACAAATCAAATGTTTGTATGTATTAACGAAAACAACAAAATTGAACAAGTATTTAATATATAAAGAGAACTTACTACTAACAATGATACTGGAAAAATACGAGCTAAAAATATTGTCTTCTCTCCATAGTAAAAAAATATGGTGCGGTCTTAAAAATTCATTGCTTAGAATTTTGGTTAAAAAGTTAAAATATTATTGGTACATTATATTATTATTTATCTTAAAGAAAGGTATATGCAATAAATTTGACACTAACAAAAATTGCACAATAAACCTCAATTCATTACTAAGACGCATTAAATTTTGTGTGTCTGAATTTCAACATTCAATAAGTCATCAAATTAACCATTAAGCTTAAATAAATGTATAAATTCCCAACCCCGTTATTTCGATACAAGTCCGTTTCATCAGGCATCCACAACGTAACACTGGTGCATGGTTGCGTTCGCCTAACTCCCTGTTAAGTGGGGTGTATTCTTATAAAAGCAAAAGGCTCATTCAGTGGGTATCAGTGCAACATTAAGTGTTCAGTGTTACAGTCATGAAGTTTTATGTAAGTTACATTTATATACAGAATTATTAAGTTCGTATTAAAGAAAAATTAAGTATAATTTCGATAGTTTTTCGTCACTCGTTTGTAATATTGTAAATAAAATAAATATTAAATAAAAATAAATGGAAAGATTTATAATAATACAAATCCTAATATTTTATTGATTTCTATTTTGGTAAGCCTTTAACAAACCCAAGACCATTAATTTTGTGCCGGCAACCTAAAACTAGGGCCAAAAAATTTGTGATTTATTTTGAAATAAAGCAGTTTTAAATAATTTATAAGTAAGATTTTTTTTAATCTATTTAGATTAAAATTGTGTCTATTTAAAAATAATTACAGTACATAATAATATATTAACGAATTATCATACAACTGATGGTAAACATTCGCTATCTTGTCAAAAGGTTGCGTTATTTAATTTTTCAATTCTTAAAAGGCCGGCAACGCACTTGCGAGCCTTCTGGCAATGTGTCTATGGGCGGCGGTATCACTTAACATCAGATGAGCCTAAAGCAAAGCCTCCTATTACATAAAAAACAAAAACATGGTGACACCCAATTACGGGGGCTAGCGAAAACGAAATGTTTGTAATAACTGTTAATATCGTTTGATATACGAAAGCGAAAACAAAAATACAAACAATAAACACATCAATCATTCAACAAGTGCCTTATTGATATTATTCCAAGCACGAGTTCAATTTCGATTTCGTGGACGTAATGTCGGTGAAGTCACTACGCGTGATGTCCAAGTTTTGGCTATTGTTCAATAAATCGATTTTTAATAAAAAAAATAAACTATACTTCGGGGTTTCAAGGAAATACATTGTAAATATATAAAATAAATAAACCTATATTTTTGCTATTAAAAAACTAGTGGTGCTTCAAGCGTTTTAGTTCTGGGCCTCAGATTTCTGTATCTGTTTCATGATTACTCCATCTTTCGTTCCATCTTCGGTTCTTAGACCCGGTATCCTCACGATATTTTCCGAATGTTAAATGCGCACATAGAAAGTCCATTGGTGTACAGCCGGAGATCGAACCTACGACCTCAGGGATGAGAGTCGCAACACACAAAATAGGTTATTAAACAAGTATTCATCATGAAACCTTACACAACCTTTTACCACTCTTTTGCCTTGAAACCGTGAGAAGACAATAGGTGCGAAGGACCAGCTCACACTAATTTCATTAACGAATGACTAAATGATACCTTTTAGGAAACTTAACCTATTGATGAAATATTACCTATTCTGAATTGGTAGAAGGGTTTTCCAGTAAGCTGAAAGAGAATAGGAAAGTTACTGCATACCGAAGATACAGTCTTTCTGGCATCATCCGTAGAAGATATGGAAGAACGGTTCGAAAGACTCGAGCTAGAAAGTAGCAACATCATCGCAAAGAACAGAGAAAAAACTAAAACCATGATAGAAGAATGAGCCAGAAAGCGCCCATGTGCTACTTGCAACATTCCTGGCATCAATTTTAGCGACCGCTATGTATATTTCGGATATCAACTGCGACTGGACTGCGAAGCGCACCAATACATATATCTTGATACTTCTCTTAGATCCCCTTATTTATATGTATTAAAGTACACACCTGTCTCTTTCCATCTCGGTGTAAACGCAATAAGACTGAAAGAGACAGAAAATAAATTTATTTAAATACAGACTTTATGAAACTGATTTAAACATTTAATTTCAGATTGCAGTCCTCGCCCTCACCGCTTCGGTTCTAGCTAGCGAGCCAGAACCAAGCAAAGTGGTTCAAAAGAGAAGTGGCCTCGTCGGACATTATGGCGGACTTGGACATGGTTATGGTGAGTACGGACAATTTAATTACAGCTATCTCTATCTAAGGAAATTTTACATAAATTTAATTTTACTAACTCACAATCCTCCTGAGAGAGCTCCATTATGGGACTATGGGTTTCCAGTTTTGCAACCCAACCCACCAAATGATGTGGTCTATAAAATACAGACTATTTAAATTATTTCCGCACACACAATAATACTGGTGTTACGCGAATTGAAACTGCGTTCATGTCGTGTTGAAAAAATACATATTAGCAATAATTTACAGATAATAAATCAATTCTGTTCCAGGTGGATACTCATCGGGTATCGGATTAGCCAGTGGATATGGTTTGGGCAGTTACGCAAGCGGCATCGGAGGATATTCTAGCGGTATTGGCGGATATTCTAGCGGTATTGGCGGATATGGAAGCGGTATCGGCGGATATGGAAGCGGCATCGGTGGATATGGAAGCGGGATTGGAATTGGAGGGGCCATAGTAGGCGCTAACGTACACACAACTGTTACTAAACATGTTGGTGTACCAGTTCCCGCTCCATACCCAGTGGCTGTTGATAGGCCTGTAGCTGTGCCTGTTAAGGTAAGATGGAACTATAGAAATCGTAATCCTGAGATCACTCAATGATATTCGGCCTCTGCAACCAGATATAACTTGAAAAGATCATACGAAATGCAAAATTATATTCCTATATAAAATAACGTAAAAGAGCGTACTACTCCTTAAAAGGCCGGCAACGCACTTGCGAGCCTTTTGGCTCTGGGCTTAAACAACAGGAATTGTAATGCTCCAGTCTTACACATTTTATTTATTATTTTATAATAACTTAAAATATATTAAGGTAATCTATCAAATTAAAGATACAATCCAATATTTTCATCCATTATTATTATTAAGCCTATATTACTCACACTAAGTATAATATTTGTTTTAGTTACATTACCTAACCTAATCTAGTACATGAAATGTTTTGGTGATCAGCGTCGTGTCTTGTGACACATAGGCCTCTTTCAACTGATTCCATTATTTTCTAATGCTAGCTCTTCCTGTCCAAGTCGTCTCTCTCTCTTTATTTCCATCCATTAGTTTAGAGTATTTTTTTCTTGGGCGCTAGGGCATATCAACACGTAATGCAATAGTTTTAATATCAATTTAATCGTTTCAAAGTGTATTTTATTTTAAATAAATTTCTTATAGGTTGCCGTGCCTGTACCAGTGGACCGTCCCTACCCGGTTGCCGTTCCCAGACCTTACCCAGTGACTGTGGAGAAGCACGTTCCAGTACCAGTAGACAGGCCAGTACCAGTGCCTGTTCCCCATGCAGTACCCTACCCAGTTGTGAAACAGGTAAGATGTTTTATGCGACCCAACGCGAAGGTCTATGTAGAATATATCTGACACTGCATTCTTTAGTATATAGAAGCTTATGTCACTATCGTAATATAAACGTTGTATTTCTCTAGCTCTTCTCTTACTCTTGCTGAAAAGAATATTAAAATCAGACATCAAAATTAAATCCTGCATATGTAGGATGCATTTTGTTAAATATTAAATAATCTAAATTAAGTAGCATTTTTTATCTCTTACGTTATAAATATTGGAAAGGATTACAAAGAATAAATACTCTTCCAGGTTGGTGTACCAGTTCCAGCTCCTTACCCCGTACCAGTAGCTAAGCCAGTGGCTGTTCCTGTACCCCATCCAGTTGCTGTTCCAGTGTCTTCTGGCATCATATCCTCAGGCATCGGTTTAGGATACTCTGGCGGCTACGGAGGTGGTTACGGAGGTGGTTACGGAAGTGGTTACGGAAGTGGTTACGGAGGTTCATACGGAGGCGGATATGGTAGTTCGTACGGAGGTGGATACGGAGGTAGCTATGGAATCCATGGCCACAAGATCTGGTAAATGGTCGAACCTGGTTATTGGAAGAATATCGAAAAATAATTTCAAAGCAAATATTGAAACTTCAAAGCTATATTTCGGATCTAATCGCTAAAAAGACTTCCTTAAAAACCGCATAGAAAATAATTTTTAGTTTACTTGACTGATCCAATAACCAGAAAGGCGGCGTTAGAGGCTATAGTCACTTTGTGATCTAGGTTATATGGGAGAGGACGTGCAATGTAAACAAAATAAATATATATTAATATTTTAAAAGTTCGACGATAGTTTGAGAATTCTTCAGAACTTTAGCTTTCCTGCCAATATCTGTTTTATCTGTTTGTATTCTGTGTAAATGTTTTTGTTCGTTTTAATATATATACTGCGATCTCTATATGGGGGCAAATATGTACCTGGTATTGTATATAGTATCTTTAATTAGATTTAAGTTCATTTACGAGTTTATATCGACCGCAGTCGACTAAATACTATTACGATTTCTAATAAACTTTTCAAATTATTTACATATTTTATTTAAGATCCTATATATTTTTACGCCTAAACGTCTTTTGAAAGCAGAATAGAGGATGGCCTCTATTCTGTGGTCGTGGGTTTGAATTCTATCAATAATGGGATTTTAATGCTCATAACGGTACAGGAATCAAGTGGAATATTTCTTATAACGAATAATTTCCAAATGCGTCAGGTGAGAGAGAGTGCGCCAATTCTTAAAAGGCCGGCAACGCACTCGTGAGCCCTTTGGCATTGAGAGTGTCCATGAGCATGAGAAAGCCATCATGCTAATTTCATGATATACAAAATACTGATGTACTATTACTGTTTCTGCCCGATTTAGGTAATTGAAACATTAAAAACTGTGCTAATATTTATCAAACTAATCACAATTATAAAGACGAAATTTATGAATAATAGACAAAATAATTTAATAATTTGAAAAAAATTAACATGTATTCCAAATATTTTCTTTAAATCATAGCTATATTGAAATTGAAATATTGTTTAGGTTTTTAGACATTATAATGATCGCTTATATGAGAATACATTAGTTTGAATCTGTTTGTGCGGCATTCACCAAATACCCTGTCGTAAGACAGTCGTAAGAAGATGTATTCCTTAATTTTTTAAAGATGTTCGGTAAATGCACACTTTTAACAGTATTAGGCAAGCTATCAAAAATTGTGTTCCATCGTAAGTCCCTCTTTCCATAGTCTGCCTTCCTCGGCTAGGGTAAGAACCCTAGTTAGTAGTAGTCTAGACGGACAAAGTTAATTTTTTACTATTATTATTTTTTTACTATTATTATTTTTTCTACTATTATTATTAAATTGTTTTTATTTTTTGCGTCTGAGGCGCACACTAAATGTTGTGGTCTCTGGCAAAATTACCAGCGCTGTGGAACATGTCTGCTCCACAGCATAATGCTGAGCCAGGGCCAGTTAAAACCACAACACACAAATTATAATTATCTTGTGTGTTTCATTAGTAATAAATGTTAGGGGAGCGAGGGGCTAGTTGTAACAATTTTAACAAATAATTGAATATCATGAAGTGTATTGGCTAAATTACTACCAAATAAACTTTGATCGATACTCTAACTATTAATCTATGAAGTCGAATTGAAATATTATCAAATCTACAGGTAACTATCTCACAATTATGATTTTTTTGAAAAAGGGAAGTGTTACAACTTACCCCGTGGTTGGGGCTAGTTGTAACAACAACAAAAACAAAAAGGTGACACCTTCAATCTTTATTTTTCGCAGTTTTTTTAACTTTTCCTTTCCCCTTTCGCTTTTCTTTATCATCTTTTTTTGCTTTTTCTTCATATTCTACTCTCAAAGCTTCTTTTTCAGGCGTATCTGTCAGAATAGGATACTTCCTTTTGCGTCTGCAAATTATATTTGTTTTTCGTGGTGGCGCCTTTGGTAATGGTCTAATCTTTCATTGGGAAAATTGATTTTGACCAGAGCAACTTGGAGTTGGTTTGTTCGCAGTTTCAATGTGGCGTATATTTCTGTTGTGCTGATATCCACTTCAGGAGCAGAATCTACTAAATAGTTGTGGATGTTCAAGATTCAACGATACATTTTCACTTTCATTTAGAACATTTTCTGATTGTTCTGTAGGATCTGGACGATCAGTAACATAAGAGGGCGCAAAGTCACTAGCTTGGAAAATATTAAAAATTCAAAGACCAAATACCAGAAGCTTCAAAACCACTGATAATATTTGCAGGGTTCAAGGCAAGTGATAATGACTCCTTCACTACACTTCGGATGTCATTAATTGCCATCGTTTTTCCTGGATTATTATACATCCATGCAGTCTGTGCTCTGTTCACGTGGTTTTTAAAAGGGCCGTAGACTCCTACAACCATAGGTTGCAAATTGTGGGAGCAATGGGGGAAACGATAACATGATAACATTGTTTTCTTTGGCTTTTTCGACAACTGCAATATTCATACGTGAGCCATGATTATCGAGCAGTAACAGAACTGGCTATTTCTTGGTAGGTTTCGCGTATTTGATAAAATGATCTATAAAAATCAAGAATTCTTTTTCAGTCATCCACCCTGAAGAATTGCCAGCTCCAATGCAATCTTGAGGTCCACCGCGAATGAAAATTTCTGAGTATTTAGCCGGGAAAAATAAACATCGGTCGTCAGTAACTTACAGCAATCTGGGGCAAATTGTAACATGTTACAACAAACCCCGAGGTTTTGTTACAACTAGCCCCTAGGTATAGGTCTTAATATTTATCACGATAACTATTAAATCAACTTAGTAATCTCGAAAACTGTTACACATCATCATAAATAGTTATATTTTAGCATAAAATAAAATACATAAAACTTCAAAGCTACGAAAATAGTAAAACTAACCGAAAATTTACGTAAGTAAAATTATAGGTTACCTGTCAACAATAAAGCGTTTGCACACACCCACTCACTACGCCGTCTGGTGGGACCCTGGCTGTGTTAAAGTGGCGTGGCATGTTATAAGTTTAAGATTAGGTAAAAAAAAACGTGAATAAAAATCAAATTCCTATTGAAAAAGGTCTGTTACTATTTACCCCTGTTACAACAAGCCCCGCGCTCCCCTATGTCTGTCATGTCTGAAGTCATTTATATGACTAAACCGTCGAGTACCTAATTCGTATATCTCTTCTCTCTTTTGTTGCGTTCTTCATAACTTAAGGTCGTTTTGGTGTTGCATATCTTATTCCATTCCTCCCTGTCTTTGTAATACTTGACCTTGACCTTAACTAACTTCGGTCCAGCGAGTAGCTCGGCCTCGGGGTCTAGCCTTCCACTCCACGACTTCTTTATCATGTCCAAAGAAGCTTAGGATACTTTGGTAACACACAATTGTAGGTTAGTTGATTCTTGTATTTAATACATAATATTCAACAAGTGGGTGTGTGGGATACACACATACTATGACGCATGATATTCTGTTTTGAATTAATCACGTAGTTCAGTGTCACAATGCACTCCTAATCCATAATCCAAGTGGCAACCAGTTATTACATCAACGACATGCCGGTATCAGAAATGGAATTAATTACATAATCCAGTCCTAATGTAAGACGCCATAACTGTTAAGTCATAAGATGTATGCACTGGTTTTTCTGGAAAATTCTATTTCTTCAAACAGTTATGAGTCGATAAAAATACTAAGGGACGTTTTAAATAATATTCCTTTTAAAGAAAACTATCATATATATATTCTTAACCATGTCCTGTATAATCTTGACTTTCGAGTTTGTTTTATTATTATTTTTTTTTATTATTTTAGATTAAGGTTCTATATTTTTTTTCTAAGATTTGGTTATGCACTCTTGCACTTTCACACCCATCATATTTCTTTTTTTAGTTTTTTCCCTTACTAGGATTGCATTTATAATTGTTATGTATTATATTATTTTTTTTGTATAATGTACTATATAATATTTGGGTAATGTACTATAACTGTAATTTTTTCGGAATTTTTACAAAACATTTTACTATAAAAGGGCACCAGGATGTCTTTATTCTACAGAAATTATTTTGTGCTAAATGTTAGTAACATACGTTTACCTAATTTTACTTTCTTTAAATAGATCGCAACAACCATAAAGATAGTTTTAGTTTAGTTTGTAATTTTACCGAATAATCATAAAATACTAATGCGACAGTTTAAAATCGAATAAAGAGTGGTAATAATAGATCCCTATTTCACCAATTTCCGCGAAAATTGTGGTAATAATGTATCGTCGTAATGTGCGGTTACTGTGTCGTCCGTAATTATGTTTAAACAGTGAAACAATCGTAAACGCTTTTGCTCTTCAGTCTAATTAGATGAATTATCGTACATTACATTTAGTTATTATTTAACTATTTACACTAAATATAACAATGTTAAAATCGTCGAAGTGGAAGAAAAATATCCTAGTAATAATAGCATAACCTGCTTTTATTTTTCCTGAAAAAAAAATAGATTTTGCATTTACAACTTTGTTCCCCGTGGCAAGCGAACTGTTAATAGTGGGTGCAAACAAATTATATGTATATGATCCTTTGTAAAAATTAAAGGTACAGCATAAATAATGATTTTATAACCATAATCATAAAGTGTTAAAAATTATCTACGATACATATCATAATATATTCTGTCACGTATATTTACATTCGAAATAACACAAGCGCGATACTGATTATGATTTTTTTAATATATATTTTCTAGCTAATTCCCCGACTGTTGTCATCGGAGGTATTAAATAACTTACGTATATGTACAACGTATGTAAATGGTACTGGTAACCCGGATGATTAAACACTACTACCTATTTCTTTTAACAACTTTTTGTATAACATTTACAGCAAGTTCCAGAAAGATGCCTCTTAACCTATTGAACATTATTTCTTTTAAATTCGTCTCTGTTACTTTTATGCCCGTAGCTTGTTCAGTGTTATACCTGTCGTATCTGTACATTGGACAGTAATTGTAATATGCAATTTATGC